CACGACTAACATAAGGATTATAAAGTTTCATAATAGTTGGGAGTGAGACGTGGCTTAACCAAAATCTCAAGTGGAGTGGCTTTAGTATTCGTGAATCCAAAGATTTCAGTCATATCAGGAGATTCAGTTGATGGATTCAAAATGTCAAAGGAGTGCAAGAAATTAGCCAGAGCGAAATGAGCCATGTTTAAGCCAAGGGACATTCCAGCACAGATCCTTCTTCCGCTTCCAAACGGTAAAAACTCATAATTGTGACCCCTAACATCAACATCTTTATGAGTAGTAAGAAATCTTTCTGGTTTGAATTCCAATGGATCCGACCAGACACTAGGGTCTCTATGAATCTTCCACAAGTTTGGCATTAGGCGAGTTCCCTTTTTGATGTGATAGCCACCTAAAATACAATTCTCTATAAATTCACGAGGTGATGAAAAAGGTGCGGGTGGATACAATCTTAGTGTCTCTTTAACTATAGCTTGAAGATACACCAGTTTACTCATATCTGACTCTTTTATAAATCCATCTATGCCAATTTGAATATCAATTTCTTCTTTAGCCTTTTTCAATACATGAGGATTTCGCAATAGCAAACAAAATGCCCATGTAAGAACAACAGCAGTTGTATCAGTTCCGCCCAAAATCAACTCCTGTAAATAATAAGTTCTAACTTTATCAGAAGAGTAGTTTAATTATCTAAGAAAAATAAATAAAATGGAAAATTATATATTATATTCAATCTTTATCATGATAAAATTTCCTTTATGTCCTAATTTTACCTAGTATTCTCGACATATCATTAGTATTTAATTATTAAATATAAAAAATACATACGTAACTAAGAAACTAGTTACATGTACCAATTTTATATTTATACCTGCTTTTATATAAAAGTATTCATTGTCAACTTCCAACTTTCTTCTTATAGTTCACAAAAGCCACTATATTGGCCACCACACGAGATTCTTAGGTAATGTTTATCTTAATTTTTTATATTTTAAAAATGTTATATAGCTAATATTAAAATTAAATACTTTAAATGAAAGTTAAATTATATAACATATTAATTAATGCTATAAATATAAAGCTAGAAGATTGTATTATACAAAA